ATGAGACAGGCGGGCGGTTAGGAATAGTAAAAGCGCGGTCAACAGGAATGATCTACCTTGAACACATGTCAATACTGAATTTAGGTAGATTTTGTGCGATTTTTATTAGAAAATGTGCTTGACTAAAGAAATTTTATTAGATCATTTTCCATAGAAATATCCCGTAATTTCAATAACTGTTAAATAAATTTAACGGGAACCGGAAGGTTTAGTGTTAATTCTGGACCATTCGAAGCTATTTTAACTCTAAATCTGAGATAGTTCTTCTGAATTATAGAATTTCCACGTTATATTATTTATTGTATTTTACGCATATGAGATTGAGCCGTGTAACCTATATAATATTGAAACATTTAACAGTTCTTCTGCCGCAATAATAATCATACCTTCATAGAATAATCGTAGAAAAATCGTACCAAAATTGCCTTTGTCCAAATTGATCTTTTCCCAAATTGTCCATTTTTGTTTTCAACCTGAGCGTCAATTAGGGATAATTTTTACAGTATATTCTAAATCGTTGTCGTATTATAATACGAGGCTGGCGAAAAAGTTGCAATAGACGAGACCTGTTTTCTTAGATAATGGTACTAAAATGAAAACAACATTGTTTTGCAAGTGAACAATTGTTACGTACTTTGATTTATTATTGTTTAATACGTATAATCGGTAAGTTTTATACGTTTATTTTTACTAACAACTGAGAAAATTGTAGTAACTCAAAATTATTTAAATTTTGATAATCACGTTATCATAATAAGCATGCTCATAATTGTTTAGAAACTGAAAATGTGGTCTCAATGTATTGTAATAATTGAAGAATTAGTTGGATAACAGATGAAATACGTGATATAGTCTACATTTTGGGTATTTGTTCGTAACTTCTTTGACGTCTGTAGAATTCTTTCTTTCTTGTGGTACATACAGTAATTTTTCCTGGAAATGTCAAATTTCGGGTTGCTGTGAATTTGCCTGTGCTAGTCCTACGTAATTTATTGCTATGTCGATGTTAAGGGTACTCGGAATCAAGTAAGAAAAACCATGGATCGACAAGGATCTATAAGCATGCACATAATTGTTTAAAAACTGAAAATGTGGGGGGGGGGGTCTCAATGTATTATAATAGTTGAAGAATTAGTTGGATAACAGATGAAATACGTGATATAGTCTACATTTTGGGTATTTGTTCGTAACTTCTTTGACGTCTGTAGAATTCTTTCTTTCTTGTGGTACATACAGTAATTTTTCCTGGAAATGTCAAATTTCGGGTTGCTGTGAATTTGCCTGTGCTAGTCCTACGTAATTTATTGCTACGTCGATGCTAAGGGTCGACGGAGTCGGTCAAGCGTGTGATGCGGCACGCGCCGCGAATGCCCGGAAGGCAATACAAAATGGTCTGTTTGGGCGTGAGTCAGGTAAAAAAAACCGCGGAGCTACAAGATACGTGATAAGTACTAGGTACGTGACCGTCGAATCGTGGCACGTGTTCTCCGAATTTCCTTCGAATCGTGGCAAAAAATTAGAAATAAAAAAGGTTAAGTCGTCGTTTTTATTCTAGCAATACTATGTATTCATACTAATGTACACCGGCATGCTGGCCTCTGTCTTTTTTGCCCACTGCGCCGAGTTTCTATAAAAACGAGACGCGAAGGATCACGACTTAGTATTCTCAGATCTGCCGGATTCAATTCCGACCTCCGAATATTTCTAGGAGAAATTACT